CGCTCCGAGTGGACACTTCAGTATTTCTGGGAGTGACAGTCGCCTGAGAATTCAAACTCCTCAATAGTCTATTAAACGTGACACTTTGTACCCTGTGTGTTCCTCTGTCCCTGTGGGTTCGACCTTTCTACCACTATATTGCAGTTTTAGCCTTTAGTGGATTATTACATGCTTCTCTCTGCGCGTCGAGAGCTCGGTCGATATCGCTGAGATTGCTCTCTGCACTTCTTGCGCACTCCCGCAATCTCCCCGTGCAAGTTCTTCGCGAGCTACTGGGATTGCACACTCTCCTCACACTCAGCGATCACTCCGCAAGTCCTCCGCGAATTCTCCACAAGACTCTCGCAAGATTCTACTTCTACGCACTCAATTGCTGCGCGTGTAACAACCCACCAAAGGCTAAAACTGCAGTATAGCAGCAAAAAGGTCGAACCCACAGGGACAGAGGCAACACATAGAGTACTAAATGTCACGTTTTAACAGACTATTGAAGAGTTTGAATTCTCAGGCGACTGTCACTCCCAGAAATACTGTAAGTGCTCAACTCGGAAGTCACTCGGAGGACGCACAGTGCAGCGTAGTTCACCCCAACACGCACCTGAAACTGGAAAAACACAACTAAGAGATCGATTAGGACCTTCACTCAAGGTTCAGGGGGAAAGTTTTTCAAGAGTACATTTAGAGGATCTGCAGGTAGTGTTCCCCAACTCCGGATTGTTAACTTTGACTGCTAGTGCAGAGCACCCGGGTTGGACTTCCTACTTTGGAAGCTGTAACTTCGTCAAACTGAAGTCACTCTCATGTGGTGAACAACACAGTCAACACACAAAACGCGCAGAGAATACAGGAACCAAATTGAGAAAAGATCCAGTGTCACACCATAATAGTCTATTGACGAGTTTGAATTCTCAAGCACTAATCATTCCCAGAAATACTGCGGAGGCTACCCCTTAAGGTGCCTCACGCAGCGTACAACCTGAATCGTTAACCAAGGTTTACTCGAAGTAACAAAACTTCACTTTGACATTCAAGGGGAAAAATCCTGAAGGAGTACAAACATGAACAATCATCCGAAGGTGTAAGTCCGAACTGCTCAAGTATCTAACCAGTCCACTATCTCTGAACATTTGGTCGAAGGCCTTCAGCTACAAAATGCGGTAACTTCGTCAAGCTGTAGCTCCTCTTGCGCGGTGACAGAACTAAAGACACAAACACGCAGAGAAAATGAGTTCATGAACTGCACTTCCGAAACTGCAAAATCCCCAAGGCAAGACGCCTTGAACTACTTTATACCTCTCTTTACTAAGGCCTAACTAACTAACACTCTACTTCATCGGCTATGGTGCGCGCCGCGAACAGATCCCACACCACAAGAGTCGGCTGCTGCTTGTCCCTCTAACTTACGACCTAAATCTAACTCTACCCCTTAATCTGAGTCTAACTCTACTTCACAGAGCCGCCAGCGTCTTTAACAGCTTTACATCCAAGATCTGGGGCTAAAAATTCGTAGGCATGCGCGGCGGGCTAAGACTAACGGCCCCATCAAATTTCAGCTCCATCCGACTGTCCATCGCAAAGATATGGACCCCGCAAGATCTCTGAACCCTAAACCTACTACACTAAGCCTCTAGCGTCTTTAACAGCTTTAGATCCAAGATCTGCGGCTACAAATTCGCAGGCATGAGCGACGGACTGAGACTAACGGCCCCACCAAATTTCAGCTCTATCCAACTGTCCATCGCAAAGATATGGGCCCCGCAAGATCTCTGAATCCTAAACCTACTACATTGAGTCTCCAGCGTCTTTTGATCCAAGATCTGAGGCTGAAAATTCGCACGCATGCGCGGCCGGCTAAGACCAATGGCCCTATCAAATTTCAGCTTCATCCGACCGTCCAGAGCGGAAATATGGGCCCCGCAAGATCTCTTATCCGAGGCCTAAATTCCTTCTCCAAAATCCGAGGTCCAGGGTACTCACAGGTCGCTTGAATGCCGTTCCCGCGATTATGGGTAATAGCCTGCTTCCCACGTGCGACTTCACACCCCGCCGTTCTGCTTCCCACACTTGACATTATCCCGCCAATTTTTGCCGTCGGGAATCTTCTTCCGCGTATCGCCGAAGGCGTCTACCGCCGAAGGCACCTTTCCGCGTCTTCGCCTATCCATATCAATCACTTTCGACACTCATAACTCAGTGATACCTTATCCGTTCCAAGCATTTTTGGGATCGTTAGAACAAGCGTGTCAAGGTCTTTCCAACAAGGTGCTAACCAAGTCAAGACGTTACGAATTGAAAACGTTATGAGGGATTCGCTCTTCCGCCAAAGGCACTCTACCGCCGAAGTCAATCTTGCGCCAAAGGCACTCTTCCATCGAAGTGACTTTCGACACTCATAACTCAGTGATACGTTATCCGTTCCAAGCTTTCTTGATTTCATTAGAAAAAGCGTGTTGAGCTCTTTTGTACAAAACCCTAATCAAGTCAAGGAGTTGCGAATTGAAAAAGTTATAAGGGATTTACTCTTCTGCCGAAGGCACTCTTCCGCGTTCACTTTCGACACTCATAAATTACTGATCCCTTATCTGTTTCAAGAGTTCTTGGGCTTGTTAGAACGAGCTTTTTCTAACAAGACCCTAAGTAAGTCAAAGCGTTACAAATTGAGAAAGTTATGAGGGATCTACCGCCGAAGGTGCTTGAAGCGGGTCCCGCAGCATGAACCGGCCTTTCCGTCCCAGGCGCCCAACTGTGGCCTCAGCCCAAAACCCCTAGACTGCCCTGGATTCCCCTAGATCCCGAGATTCCTTTTTTACTTTGTTTTCGCGTACCGATTATTATTTACAGCTACTACCGCGGTACTTACTATTCAAACATGTTTTAATTCCGAAAAAAAACAAAAAGTGGGTTATTAGAGCGCGCTCCTTCCACTCCTCACTCTTAGAATTCTCTTCGCAAGCTTGCTGCGAATTACACCGCTGCGCGTCGGGAGCTCAAGTGAACGCGAAATTGAAAATGGGAGAATAAGGTAGCGGCGTGGTCTTCCATTCCTTCGGCGATCAAGATCGTCCAACGTTCGACACTTGGACTGGCCGAAGCTCGCTTGAATGCGGTGTAGGCGCGGAGGCGTAATGGCCCAATTCGCACGCTCAAATTCACGCTCCTCCGTTGCGCGGACTCCCATGCGTGTATGTTCAATCTTGATTCCGCCGATTTCCGCCGAAGTTGTTCTCCGCTCGCGTATCGCCGAAGGCGTCTACCGCTGAAGGCGCTTGCGGCGAAGACACGTTTTCCGCCGACTTCTTTGTCCTTTCTGCTTCCGCCGAAGGCGCTCCGCCGTAGGCGTTGCGGCGAAGCTTCTCGCTCCATATGGTTTCTCTTTCACGTTCTGCGCATCGCCGAAGGCGTTCTGCCGAAAGCGTTTTCCTTCCGCCGAAGGCATACGGCCGAAGGCGCACGACCGAAGTCATTGCATCTCGCCTTTGTCTGTGTCGTTTCTTCTCGCGCTGAAGGCGCTCTCACCGTAGGTGTTTCCTTCTATCGAGGGCGCATGTTTCCACCGAAGGCGAAGCTCTGACCTTGCGCCGAAGGCAAAACCTAACATCGAAAGTGCTTGCGCCGAAGGCGCTTGGGCGAAGGAGTTTACCGCCGAAGGCGTAGTCTAGCGACGAAGTCGCTTTCCCTTGACGAAGGCGCATCCGTCCCAGTACTCGTACGTCTTCAGCAAAAGCTCTTCTGCAGGGGTCTGAGCCGAAGGCGCTTGCTCCTGCTTACGCCGAAGGCGGTTCAGCCGAAGACCCCTCAACAAGAAAGCTTTTGCCAAAGGCGTCGGAGACGCTCCCCTTAGTAGGAACCGTCCGTTCTGTCCAAGGTGCATGTCCTCGACATTGCGCCCAACTCCGTGATTCTCCGTGATCCGTGATATTCTATTTTTTACTCTATTTTTGTGTACCGATTACTATTTACAGTTGCTGCTGCGGTACTTGTTCTCCAAAAATGTTTAAATTCCGCACAAAAACAAAAAGTGGGTTATCACAATCACGACACTGTACTCTTTTCTTTTTGAACAAACTGTGGCTGTTGAATATTTGAGCTTAGAAGCTTGGTTCTTCCTTCGACTTATTGACCTCAGGACCACTCCGGCGACTTCAAGAGGTTTTGCAGGTCCAGTCTCCAAGGAAAGAGGAATTAACTAATTTCGGTCAAGGGTGAGTATTGTGGAGGTGCTGGGTCCGGGAAAAGCACAAATCAATCGGAATCGCACACAAACACGAGTAGGACATGGATGGATGATTAAGAATGATATTTAAATGGTTTGAAAGACGTAACTTCGCCAAACCGCGCTCCACCAGCAACTCTAAAGCATAACTGTACGACCATGTTGATGTGGGGTCCTCTGGAATGCAGCGTACGGCTCTCAGAATAATAGAATTCACCATGTGGATGTAAGTACAGCGCTACGACGCTGATGATAGAATTTAATCTATCTATTAGTTCAATAGAATTTAATCTCGACATGTGTCTCGTTGTCACGTCGAGAAAGCGGTTCCCATACAGCACTGTGGACATTCCAGAGACTCTATTCAGCGTACACATAACCGCTCCACCTTGAATCACATGGGTCTTCGAGATGCTCTGCAAGGAAAAGGACTCCAGATACGAGCGATAGTCCAGCACTCGAATTTACTTCATGCAGACGTATTCATAGTTGTGGTGACTGAATTGGAAATATGGTTGAAAGTGAGCCACGTGAACAAATCGTACGACCTCGGGGTTATCAATGGCGAATTGTCCATTAACCGCATTTTCCACGTCCGGTGTCAGCTCGTTCTCAGGACTATCCCTATAGTAGCGTAGCCAAATAGTCCATACTATGAATAATACTTCACGCTCGACAGATACTCAGTTTTATTCACGTATTATTATTTACTTCTAACTGCTCCCGCAGCTATGATGCCATAATAATGTAGATTAGAGGCTTCACCTGACAAACTCACGCACCAGGGAATGGTCGAAAAGCAGCTCATTCCCCGCAAATGGCCCTGCCAGTGTGCCAGTGGGAGATTCCCGGAGGGCTTCTGACGCCACCGATGAGTGAGTGGCGTGCGAGAGGGTCGATGACCATCAGGTCTGCTCGGCGTTTTTTCGCGTAGAGTTGAAAGATCGATCCTCCATCAACTCGCGGGGACTGGAAATAGAAGAAATTTGAGGTGAAGTTCAATTTCTCATTTTTCTTAATTCCTCACTAGTAATTCGATAATCCACGCCGAGATTTTTATGCTAATGAAGTGTTCGATCGGATGTTATGCATCATAGTATCGGAGACTTCTAATTGAAGAGTGGCTTTTCACAACAAGAATAAACATCAAGACTGAACAGAGTTCAATTTTGACGTTAATTCTTGTTCCGTGGACACTTTCTCACTAGTACATCGAGTCTCCAAAACGAGCTGTTGATGCTTATCAGGTATGTGATCGGATGCTGTGCATCACCTACAGTGATCCCATCAATCATGAACCAACTCGGATTTTTGTCTTCGGTCCAGTTCAACAAGTCGATACATCTTCGGTGCAGCAATCCAGGCCTGGATTTAGTCCTGTGACTCTCGAATCTAGGAACTTCTCTGCACAACCGACCAGCTGCCGATGAACGGGTCGATGTCGATCAACTTCCTGGATGGTTCGAAAAGTGCCAGAGGGTAGCATAGTTGCAAGACATCTCGACCCCGAGGACGATCGTGACTGCGCATGGGGTCGTAATATCTGGCCTCCGAAAGAGAAGAGTAGTTTCTAGATGATGAGGCGATGTTTGTTTCTAGTTTCTAGTTTCACGATGTTGATCTTGAATTCCAACGAGGACCGGACGGGAGGGCGTTTCCGAATGCACTGTCGATGAGACCCGCATCGCCAGTCTGAAGTGTCTCGGGAGTTTCACTCGAGAGGGATCGAAAGAAGGTGATGAGAGTAGCTTCGTTCAGAAGATGGCAGAAGACTTCCGAGACTGCTCTCTCGATCATCGACTTCGAATGTACTCACGAGGAGGAGGAACACATGCATCGGATCTGAACATGAGATCGTGACAAAGAACTTGGAGATCGTCCTCATGCCCTTGCCAAATCACGACCAGAAGAAGGACAAATCATTGAACACATGCATATGTTCTGAATAAATGCTCGTCTCGTTGAGGAGAGGAGACGTGGCTCCATGCTTGGACTGATTTGTCTCCACATTGCTCGCAAATCCGACGAGCCAAACGTTCTCCCTGTCGCAGAAGAAGGCAGCGAGATTCGTAAAGCTGAGTGCTATTCTTCTGATGAATTCGATAAGAATCCAGCATGCATCATGAAATGTCTAGCAGGAACTAGTCAAGTGCTGCTCATCTGAGATATCGGACGTCAGGAATTATATGCAATATAGTGCTATCCCAGTCAATGAATTACACAGACGAATCTGAAAAGGCAGCACACAAGGATCGCGGTGCAGCTTGGAGCCTTCGTATATCTTTCTATCTATAAGTTCAAGATGAGTTTGATTCAACACTTTCCAGCACTTTCCATCTGCAATTTGGCCACTTTCATTCGCCTAGATGTCTGAATAGCACAGCACAGATAGATACACAGCATAGATACACAGCATCTGTGCTTCACGCACAGATGCTGTGTATCAATGCCGTGTGTGGTTTGGTTATGTATTTTGAGTTCCTAGTAAAAGCTTGTGACCCATTTCTGCAATATAGGATATGTTTCAACTGTAACAGCAGCATTGGTCATGACATACAATTAGTTGACATACAATTACTCCTTACTTTGACATATGACATACCTTACTTTCTATGTTCACATCCATGTTCAATTTGTTGTATATTTTAGCGGATCTAGTTGAGTGAAAGAGTCAGCTTTAGCTTTTGTTTATAACCATCAACTATCTTGTTTGTCTACCGTTGGCTATGTTTCACATTATGAGCCTCTGTTTTTCCTTGGCTCTTTTTGTCCCTAATAGATCAGTCGGTGGAGGGGATGGTGTAGGATTTTCTTGGGAAAGGTCTACAGGTGATTATGATGGAGGGAGTAGTTTTGGTGGTGGAGGTGGACATGAAGATGGAGGATTTGTTGGAAGGATTAGTGTCGGTGATGGTGCTCGTGGCCAGGGAGATTCATTTATGTGTAAATTGAAAAGTTGTTGAAATAAAACTGTGACAATTTCTCAATTCTTGACCTCAAACGTAAATCAAAATTAATACAAACGGTGCATTTTCAAAGATTGAATTAGAACTCTCTTTTCACTGCACTTTACAATCATTCTTTTGTTTAAAATATGTGTTACAAACTTGATAAAGATCAAAAAGCACCACAAGGGGTTTCAATCCTTCATCCACAATTTGAGTTTTTAAGCGTTCGGATTGTATGCCTACCCGTGGCAGGCTTTGTAATCACAATGAAGTCTTCAAGGAAAGCGCCCTCAATAGTTTCCTTGGCACAATCGATCAATTGATTTGTACACGCATCGTTCTCCCCTCCAAGCTGACGGAAAGTCAAACAACAACAAAAAAAAACTGTCTTTCTGTATAGAATGTTGCTTCCTTTTTTTTGGCAAGTTTGTTCAAGAGGTGAAAAGAGATCTCAGATTTGGCCCGCCTCCATCCATCCTTCGATGTGTACTCGAAATCTCGGAAAGTGAAACAACAAAAAAAACTGTCTTTCTGTGTAGAATGTTGCTTCTCCTTTTTAGCAAGTTTGTTCAAGAGGTGAAAAGAGATCTCAGATTTGGCCCGCCTCCATCCATCCTTCGATGTGTGCACGCATACATGTATTTAATAAAACGCAAATGGAATCTATCCCAATGTAGAAAGAAGGAATGAGTCTCACTCAAGACTCAGAATCACTGGAATCTATCCCGAAACAGTACCAGCTCTAATATCATGATAAAATGAACACACAGGAAAACTGTGGGAAACCATAAATCTAGTATGAGGTAAAAAGGAACACATAAATACCCTTTGAGGTTCCGGAGAACAGGGAAGGCCAAGGGACCGCTGCATACCTCACATGCAAGAACGAATGGATCGAGATTATAGTCCCTAGTGGGCATACACTTTTCAACAAATAGTACCTGGAAATGTAAAGAAAATAAGCATGTTAATATTTCTAGTATGTCCTCTACACCCCTGCGATCGTATTGGATAAAATCAAATGAAACACGCGTTGAATCTCGAAAGCTTCATGTTACCGAGACTCCATAAATCATGATAAATCAAAGCCAGTCCGAACAAAAGACTTCCAATCTAAGAGTTGCTATATTTTCTTTTCAATAGCCTGTGTCAATTCCGTTCGGAGATCATTTGCATGCAGTCACAGGCTATGGCAGTAATAGTGAAGAGTGTGGAACCCACCGATTCGAGACCCTGATGGAGATTTCAAATTTCAGCGACGTCGAGTAATGTTTGCTGAAGCTCTCCGAAATGAAACGTCTAATCCAAGAGGCGCCAGTAGATGCACCTGAGATAGTACCCAGATTACGTAACTTCATGCCCAGAAACAGATACCGATACAGTGGTGTCCACTTACCGGGAAAAAGTTCAACTTCATGTAGGCCCTCTAGTTTGGATGAGAATTCAAGTTTTCACCGTCCAAACGTGGAACTGTCATTCTATCACTGAGATTTCACAGAATCTCCTGTATCTTCTCCTTGACATCCTCCAATGAGAGTGGATGAATTGTGTATACTTGTGTTCTTTTCGTCGGTTGGCTTAAAGGCCAATACATGGATTTGAGCACGGACACAGCAAAATCTGCAGTCACATATAATCAACGAGTTTATGTGTCATCGAGTTGCAGTAAGTTTATCAAGTACAGCGCAGAGGAGACTTTAGTCCAAGGCGCAATTTTATCTAGAGAACCTTCTCTGCTTGTCTAACTTACCTGGAAATATTGCCAAGTATCTGAATTGTACCAAGCCAGCTTTCAGTAGATATAGTTCCAAATGAACTCCCTCACTAAGTTCGACGAACTTCAATGAAAATTGTGATTCCTGTCTCAGTTTGAATGCCCATCGACATATGGAGTTAACCAGACACGTTGTCCAACAATAATTATCTGCCACACGACGACAGAAAGGGACGATCTGTTTCGAGTTTGCTCTTAAGAAGAGTAGCTTCTTCAGTCAGGTTCATCATTTTTCGTTTACAGACCAGCTTGATTCTATGGTATCTTCGAAACACCACTCGTGGTGTGGACGCACGAAATTTCAGTTGCAGATACTGCAGGAATAAGTCTGCAATGTGTTTGAAAACATGTATCGTTAAAGCTATAAAGGCCAAGTTGAAACGCTACACAATGGCCAGTTTTAAAGGTTCATGCCTACAAAGAGTACCACGTGGTACTGTTTATAGGCAGGAGATAGCAAAACTGGCTACCACGTGTGTAAAGTTTATATCGTGCATGCCAGTCTCAGGGAGAGATCTTTATAATAACATCCACGAGATCGAACATCACGTCCAAGTGTGGCTATAACATCGGATATATACCTATCGCAATATCATCGGAATTCCTCTATGAATCATAATCTCAGTGATGATTCCTAATGAATAATAATTCAGATCATGTGGGGAGGATCTCACTGCGGCCGATGTGCTTCTTTGACAAGGCTACACGTATAGCGGAATCAAGTGAGAAAATATGGGTTGCTATGACATGCACTTTGAGGACGTCCAATACCAAAAGCAGTCACTTATTCGAATTGTGCCCAGTAGTTGAGATAGTTGAGCAGGTCGTCTCTTCTCCGCTGCTTTTGTGACATGAATATTCTGAGCAGTCAGTACATCTCAAGCTGAAGAATCTCCGTTACTGGGTATGGTCCACAAAATATTCAAGTTTCGCTGCCCGACACGTATGTATCAGGCATCTCTTGATAACACTCATTGTTGGAATGAGTAAAGGTTCATGACTTTGTACCTTCGGTATTTCTTATTCTATTTATTTATTTTCACTGATCGTCTGCAGGACTGTTCTCATGCTGCTCTGGGTTTCGCTTTTTAAAATAATGACTCATTCTCTATCAGTCTCTCTCTGAGAATTATCCGAATCGGATTGCCGGTGATGATTTAACAAACCCATTTCTGACTGTGAGGTCATGGAGACAGCCACCACGAACTTTCGGCACATTCCTTCAAATAGACAAGATCTGAAATATCTGAAGCAGTTTAAGGCACCGCATGTTTTGGACGAATGGAGCACGTTTCTGGTGCCTCGCTCCCAAAAGGTACCATGACCTTTCTGAATAAGTGAGCATAATCTGTTCAATTCACTTAACACGAGTTTTTCAAAATACTACGCTACTAGCGAAGCCTGTCAAATCTGTACATATAGTTCCAATTCAATGTTGCCATTTGAATGTACGAGTTCCATTGTGTGGAATGAAGGAGGCCTCACAACCTGCAATGGCAAGATCTTCCGTTTGTAGTATACAGAGATTCACTGACTATTATTTATTGTCAGAGTTCGGAGACAGAAGACTCTGTACACAGAAATATAAATATAGATATATATCCGAAGCCTTCGATCGCCAGCTTCTGCAGATTCTTAGATCGTCCAGGTCTGGATTTCCTCTCTGTGTATAGTGAGGAATGTCTGGGCACTATTCTGGAAATCTCGTCTATACCAATGCGGAGGTGTACAAGTAACTGAGTTAGCTCAAGGATATCAAGTCAGTACCAGAAATGATACACGTCTTTACTAGCTTAGAACATTTCATTAGCTATAAGCAACTGGTCACAGACTTTTTATGAGAATGATTTAGAGTTTTAAGATCTCATGATGACAAATGAATGGTTTGGACGTAAACGTCGGCTTTGAAACATCCACCGCTTTTATTGAACTAGCATGCACGAAAAGCTTGCTGAACTTTCTGCGTGTAGTCTGATTTTCAATTTAGATGTAAATTATCGAGTTTTAAACATCAAAATCAACTTTTGATGCCTAGACAGACATTCCGTGCTAATATTAGCACGAATTTAGCACGGAAGCCCGAAGACAGCCTTTCGGAGCCGCACGTAAAAAAAACGTAGATGTTAATTTTCTTTTCTCTCTCGCGTGGGGTGGCTCTTTGGATGTAAGACCAAAGGGCCACGAAATCAGAAAAACTTTTATGCACTACGGGCCTGCGGAGATTTTAAGCCTTAATGGGGTAATTTCTCTATATATTATAGATAATCAGCCGCGAAAACAAAGATTTTTTTTGTGTGATGCGTCCTCCCCAAATGCACGTGTCCATTGAAATATTATTTTCTTTCAGTGACAGAGCAATTTCACCTTAAACAATTCACACCTCTACTTGCGCTTTGTTGACGAATACCAGCTACTTTTCAGGCCTTTACACAGCGTCATTGCCATCGTTTTCAAATCGTCTTGGATGCGCTAGAACTGGTCAACTTTTGCTTTACTTGCTTCTGAAGTTATGGAGTCGACGTATCCTACTGCTGCTCTAGACCCCATTTCAATATCATGCAGCATGGTTTTTTCACATGTGTACCTTTGGGTTGATGTCGTTTCTATTTAGCCCGCGTGCTGTCTTTTCTTTGCTGTTACCGCAGAGACACTAGTGCCTTCAGCAATTATTACCTTTAGACTAGACCTCCAAAACGAACCAATGTTACCAGACAACAGTGACTATCGAATGCATACTTTAGCAACACTTAATCTGTTCATTAGGCTGATCATGATACTTTTCTGTTATCATGTTGGTAGGGATGTGAGCCTCCAACAGCTGTAGGTTTTAGCATAAAGCATATTAACATGTACACAAATAACCAAGAAAAGCATTGAAATGGTGTGTTAAACATACTGAAAGCATGAAGAAGAAGTCAACTGTCAATAAACAGATGAATTTCTTCACGCTCTGACTTAATGACCTCCCGGCCCTGTTCTGTTCTCATTATCAAACAAGACTCTTTTTTTTTTGGGCACATAGCGCGGTCAAACATGTGTTTACACGGATTTTGGCACGCATTGACTACTGGTCCTCAACTTTTTCGTGGCTTGATTCATCGACTTGCAAGTTGAGAAACAAGAAACGTAACATGCCAAGATGCAAACTAGACGGCATTGGTCTTCTAGCTACACTCTTTTGTCGTGTCCGACCTGATGTGCTTC